CCAATTACGGAGTGCTTTGAAGAATTTTTAATGAACGTAAATTTTAACCAAAAATACTGCAAAGCCATTATTAATACTGTATGTAGGCACAGGGTACCTGACTTGTAAAGCTGCCAGAAACCTAAACTCTTCTGATAAGATTTGCCACATTTTTTTCTTTAAATAAATACATTTTAAAAAATCATCAAATGTCCCTGCTTTATTTCACCACGGCAACGAAATAAGCACAGCCTCAAGTCTGTGCTTCTGTTTCCTATTGCATTAATTTCTCCTACCCAGTTCCTCCCTCAAAGCAGTGAACATGCAGGCAAGTAATCCTGCCATTGCTCCAACTCCATGGAGGATACAAACCTGCCTGCAGCCTCTGTCCCTCTGCTACTAGGTAGTCACTGCTGCGCCCAGACTCTTTATTCACCGTTGTAACAGAAACACTTTCATTTTTTTCTCTTAAAAAGACACCTAACATTTCACCAGATGGTATCAGCACTTCCAAGTGCCTGTAAACCAGACTCCCCAAGCCCAGCCCATTAGCAGCTGCTCTGTGAGTGGCAAAGGAATCCAGAAATTAATCGCCTACCTTACACCGCTTCTCACCTGGTCTTGGCTACTTCCTTTCCTCAGGCTCTGGCAAGAAACCCAGACATGAAGCAATTCCCCAACCACAATGACAGCCATGAAAAGCTATTTCGGCCCGTATCATTGGGCAGTCTGACTGAATTAGGATAGAGAATTTTAGGCTCCCCACACTCTTCTGAGCAGAGGTAGGGTGCGTTATGTTCCTGTCTTGTGGAAACCTGGCACGTGGCAGAATGGGAGTTGGGTTTGTGCATCCTTTGCTGCTTACTCCTCTCCTTACCCCCAAAAACTGGACGTGGAGCTGCAGACATCCTTTTTACCTTTGTACTGGGGAACAAAGAGGTGGCAGATCCCCACCATTAATAGCCTGTGCAGACAGACCAACAATGAAATACAACTGTACTGGGTTTGCAAGGCAAAGCTTTGGTAGCAGGGTGGGGGGCACAGCGGCAGCTTCTGCAAGAAGCTGCTGGCAGCTTCCTCCATGTCTGGCAGAGCTAGTCCCTGGCAGCTCCAAAGATGGATGTGCTTCAGGACGAGGCTGAGCCCATGAGAAATGGTGGTGGTGCCTCTGTGATCATGTGTTTCAGAAAAAAGAAAAAAATAAGTTTCTGCACAGTTGTAATTGCAGCCAGAGGAGAGTGGAGTGAGAGTACGTGAAAGGAACAACTCTGCAGACACCGAGGTCAGTGAAGAAGGAGGGGGAGAAGGTGTTCCA